TGCATACTAAGTATAGATAAAATCTATTAACATTTACTGACAGATAACTTGAGACTTACTGATATAAAAATTATAATTAAACTTTATTTGGCGTACTACTTGCGCACAATGCACATTTCTTAATATTAAGTCTAAAATGTGTTTTAATGTCACTTTTGATGAGAATTGTATGATCTTTGAATAATATACTTGCGTATATTATAGTGTACTTGCAATAGTTCCACTTTAGCACAATCAAATATACTAAGCATATCTTTAATTGTACTTCAGCACTACTTACGCACAATTAAAGTGCATTAAGTACAAAATTAGTTTTTCCAATTTAGCAGACTTTACCAGTTTAGTATAGTACAAATTGCAGGTACAATTGCAGGGCATTTTTATTAAGTACATAAATGTGAAAATGTATGTTTAGTATACTTAGCATGAAATAAATGTATTTCAAATGCATTTAAGTATATTTATTTTTCACTAGGTCAGCAAGCCAAAATCTAGGTTTGTCTTGACAAACTTTACCTGTTATCTTAATTTGTACTTTTCCATTAACACTGAATGGAGGTGCTTAGATTTAAAGCTCCGAATATTAAAATAATGTTCACAAATTTACCAAATTTCTGTTATTATTAGAGAGAAAGAAAGAGAGAATATACAAATACAGATACATTTTTGTGGCAATCATAAAATTGGCACAAAAATAACACTAATGTATTTTTGTAAATGGCACTGTAACCTGTCAATTACTGCTTGGGGAGGTGCCGATTCGGCTTGCAACATGCCAGATGCTACATATCAAAAGACTATGTAGAATTAAAATGATGAGCACGAACATGCAGTTGGCTTCCAAATACACGGTACCAAACTAGGATGAACGAAAAGCTAAATTACGCTGACAATTGGCAAGCACAACAGACTGGTATTTTGAGATGGACTGGAATGGACAAATTCTTTCACTGTCATAATATCTGTGTGCTTAACAGATATAGAGATATGCGTTAGCATTAAAAAAGGAAACATGGGGGAGAAAAAGATTCAAATACAAGCTAGAAGACTGCTTAGGGTTAAAAAAAGAGAGGTTTTGTTTTTGAGAAGGTGATAATATTGTCTCTATCAAAAACAAAAGTAAAGATATTTTGAAAGTCTCTGGGCTCCAAACAATACTGGACCTCACTGACTTTCATTGTTTGGACAAAAAACACTGAAATATGAATACATGATGAAAGAATATTTATGTTTGAATGAAGTGTGCTTTATATAGACACCAAATTGAGACTTTTGCCAAAACACTAAGTTGAACTGAATTGATAATCAGAATTTTCAATATGATCTCAAACTGTTTACTTCAAACACTTCATTGTTCAGATTATCTCGGCTTTGAAAAGAAAGCTTAATAAATCTGACACCCTCGCTGCAATACAGGGCTTTCAAAATGGCATGTTCATCTGTCTAAAAACACCATTAACCTAAAAAGCATCAAACAGGAGCTAATACATTCTGCATTGTCTTTTGGGCAGGTTGTCAAAGGAAATGTGTTGCACCTCACGTTCAGGATTAAACAGCATGAAAATGTAACCATGCCTTTCAGATATGAGTCAGATCGTAAAAGCAGCTGCTGTGTGACAACCCAGACTTGTGGGTAGTAACTTTTGGTGAAGCGCCAAAGGAAAGACACAACCTTGTGTAAGTTTAAAACAGAATTATAAACAACTTCAACCTCTGGATGGGTTTTATCTGGCAGTTGCTTGCTCTTTTCCCTGTTGCATCATTATGGAAAGACATTAATCAGAGTTACTTCTGTAAGTATATGTTTAATTCCTCCTGAATTTATTGAGTGTACATTTCATGCATTTGAAAATATAAATCATTTGTCATTTTACATCTCACTTTCTCTTTGACAGAAGACTCTGGGTGAATTCATTAAACAGTTCTGCATGTAGTCTTGGCACTCAAAAATCCATTAAACATGGCACTAAATATGTTAAAATTGAACTCTAATATTTAAAGTCACTGTCTTTCTTTTCAGTGCATATACCCTTCTTATTATAAACAATATGCAGAAAATCATATTTGTGCTACTGTAAAGCGGCAAAACAGGTGTTAAAATAATTTATTTTGAAGAAAAGATAACTGAAAGATAAAAAAGGGCATTATAACTTGGCATATACACTACTGTTCAAAAGTTTAGGATCGGTAATATTTTTCTAATGTTTTTGAAAGAAGACTCTTGTGGTCACCAATGTTGCATTTATTTGATCAAAAATACAGTAAGAGCAGAAATAATGTGAAATATTATTACAACCTAAAGTAACTGTTTTCTTTTTTTAATGTATTTTGACATGTAATTTATTCCTGCTACGGTAAATCTGAATTTCTGGTCTTCAGTGTCACAAAGATCCTTCAGATCCCTCAGAAACTATACTACTATGTTGATTTGGTGCTCAAGAAACATTTCTTTGTATTGTCACAGTCTAAAACAGTTGTAGAGATTCATATTTTTGTGGAAACAGTGATACATTTCAGTTTCATTAATGAATCGAAAGTTCAAAAGAGCAGTATTTATTTTAAACGAAAATCTTTTGTAAAATTTTGAAAAATAAGATGTATGTCTTTACTGTCACTTTTGACCAATTGATTGTTTCCTAGCTGAATAAATGTATTAATCACTTAAAATAAATGAATAAATAAATAACAATAATAACGTACTGAACTCAAACTGAAATAGTAATGTACAGTATTTAGTCAAGCATACTTTCTGTATTTTAAAGCATCGAGTCAGGAAATCACACCAGATTGTAGAAGTCTGCTTAATCCTCCATATCTGAACATTCACAACCAACTTGTGTGCAAATTGTGTTGAGGTGTTCAGCACATATTATGTGTGTATCGTGCAACTTTAACAGATTTGCATATTTTCTTTAGTGAATCAGGCCCTAAAACAACAGAAACACTGCATACAAATAAATGGCAATACTAGCGAATACTATTTATTCTTATTGAATTCACCAAACAACAGTGAATTCATCAAACGACATTTCATTTCCTGCCGCTGCTGCTCCCGAGCACCAGCATTTCGACTATTTCCTCGGGTCTGAAATTAATTGTCGAAGCCCTGCGATACTCTATGAAGGATTAATGAACATGCCGTATCCTCCTTTTGTTCAACTGAAGATCTAGTAGCTTTAGCTGGCCAAATTAAGCCCCATTAAACCAAACTTGCTTATGGTCACTTTTAATTTGCTCCTCGCCATTCCACATAATTAGAGCTCGCATTAGGCCGAGGCCTCTCAAAAGGTGAAGAGAACCTCACAGAGAGTAAATCCTGAAGCATGAGGGCCAGTTGTGCTTTTCAAAGGCTTTCTAAACCCAACGTCTCTCCGGGTGCCTCCAAATGAGATCAGAGCTTTTGAGATTTGGCTTCTTGATAATATTAACTCTCCTCCCACTATTTCTCCATCAGTCAGGTCCCCCACCTCCCATACCGCACCAATCAAATCATGTGGAGTAAATGGATAAACTGCTGCAGGACACTGCGTCTGGAAGTGCCCGTGTTTAATTTAAGGGCCGTCAATGACTTTGCATGGTGACCTTTAGGTTGAGCTGACCACAGTGCACAACACAGCGCTCTTTTAATTAGAGGAACCTTTAAAGTGTCTTTGTGTGTAACTAGATAAAAATTCTGCTGTGCTGTATTTCACAGGAATTGCGCTTTTATTAAATTAGCCTTGATGATTGGATAGTGTGACTGCAGTGCATTTAAGAACTACAGAACTATATTTCTGACAAATACTGTGTATACAGCAGACTACACTGGACATACAGTTTATGCTATCAATAGTGAAGCAAAAACAAATTCTGTTTTGTTTTTTGGCCATACAAGAAAAGTACATTTATTTGTATTTTTTTCAAATGAAAGAAGTGCACACAGGTTTGGAACAACATGAGGGTGAGTAAATGGTGACATAATTTTCATTTTTGGGTGGAGTATCCCTTTAACTTTACTAAATTATAAACTGTTTGTTGGCCTATGTGGAATTATATGAATGATATATGTATGATGAGTTATATACCTTCAGATGAATTATATATTTATGCACTAGGTTGCTTGGCTAAATAAATAAATAATTCTAGATTATGAATTATATACAGTATTTATGCACAGGGCTGCTTGGCTAAATAAATAAAAACATTATTCTGCATTAAGAGTTACAGGCTTACGAAATGAAATACTTGGTGCAAAGAATTCAATTCACTTTGTTTGTTAGCACAATAGATATTGTTCCAAAGCAGCATTAGAAAGAATGCTGGCAGTTCCAACAACAACAAACAACAACAATTCCCCAAAACATTTAGTAGGTGAAAAAGAAACTTTGCACAAACTCAGAATCGCTTAGTTAAGGCCATCTTATTGCGCTGGCACATATTTAAATATATGTATAAGGCATACTGCATACATAAATGTATCTAAATTGTGTATAGTGATTATTAATAAATACAATTTTTGTTCAGTATTAGAGTTTTATCAGATTAGTATTCCCACCATTATAGAAAAGCCATATGCCACTTTCAGTCAGAGACATGCCGGGGCGGGAAGTGCACATGCTACGACTTGTAATTTCCTGATCCTATCCTTCTCTCTTTTCCTTATCATATACTGTCTCCTCACTACTGTCCTGTCTATATAACTGGCAAAAGCTCTAAAATAAAATGTAATAAAACAAGCCAGTGGATGATATGTGTTATGATTAACAGTTAACTCTACTAACCAAACAAGCTAAAGAACATCACTTTAGCCTGTTAGGATCACTGTAACATACTGTACAGGCTCCAGTGGCGCATAATTCATATTTCCGAACTGGACATACAAACTTCTGATTTAATGCATCAAAGAGAAAGGTAAAGAGAAAATTCACATTATCAGCACAATATTGCTATTAAAAATGGGTGAAAATAAGTCATCTGTGACCCTTAGCACTGGTAAAATCAAGCACTAAGTAAATGTTCACCTGAAGGAAGCCTTAAGGATCTGTCCTGATGTAATCTCTTTGGTGTGGTTATTGTAGCCGTAGAAGAGGTCCCCAAACACAGTCTGGTTGCCCGGGATGTCAGCTGTGTCCCCGCAGTCCACTCCCTCAGTGCAGGCTTCTGACAGCGGCTGACATGAGCGACCGTCTGCTCCTCTCTTATAATCTTCAATACATCTACAAACATATGGCAATGAGAAAAAGATATGAGCTAAAGGAAGAGAAGAAAGAAGAGTAGTTCCCTCTCAGTCGGTCACTCTCGACGTCACGTCGGAGGACCGACGAATTGGGATCTCGCTTAGGTCTGCCAAAGTAAGATTATTCCAAATAAATTATTCCTTATGACACTTTTCTTTATTTATCATTTTAGAATAATAGTAAAGTCATCAAAAAACTACGAAATCATACAAATGAGAATATTGGAATTGTGCAGTGACCAACAAATGTCAAATCAAAATGATCTTATTATGATGATTTTAGCTGCTTCTAACATCCAGTATACAGTACACTGGCAATAAAGTAGGTTACGTTCATTGACTTGACTATGCAAAGTACTGGTAATGGATGATTTACCCTAATTTTGTTTAAAAGTAGAAATAAGAATGAAATCATGTTTATTTATTATGCATTTTATATGGACTATAATGGATACTACAATCAAAGAATTCATGGAATCAGTTATCAACTGAAAACAAGCATAACAATTGAACTTTTTAAATGAACAAATATGTATCTTTAAACATCTTACCATGAATAGGGAACCATTAAAATGCACACTGTAACACACATGATTTTTCAAAGTTGTAAATAAAACTTAAATAGTATAGTAAAGCATATTCCAATAATTTTAAGTATTTCTATTTCAAAATTTCACATTTAATTCAGTGAGTCACTTGCCATTTATTTGTTATTATTTGTGAAAATTTACTAGCAATTCATGAGTAAAAAAAATAAAAAAAGACATTTTTTTCTGCGTATTGCAATTGCAGTTAAATTAAAAGATTTGATCACATTACACAAAATATTATGTAAGGCATCAATGTGTACATTATGAATGCATGAGTATTTATAGCGTTTTGAATTCATATTGTGTTATTTGTCCCATAAGTTTATTTTTACTTTATCTTATTTATTTATTTTGGTGGGGGGTGGGGGGGTGGGGGGGTTGGTCCCAAATCATAAAGACATTGCTTAATGAAACAGAGCAATGTGAAGAACTAGTTCGGCATTCAAAACTACCCAGGGGTAATGATCTCACAGCAAAGCATCTGTCATGAATTTAAAACTGGCAATTCTTTTTATTTACTGCAAAATAGTATCATTCTAATAGTGTGACAACTCACAGGAGTCGTTTATATTCATGGGACTTTGAAACTAAGCTGTCACATCTGCTCTGTACTACACGAGCAACAGAGAGAAAGAGGTGTCAGGGCATAAACGCTCAGTCTCACTTCTCTTGGTAACACACTACTGTTTTACAGGAAGCCGTCATCAGTGTAGGTGAGACACATCCTCTCGGTTGCACATCCGTAACACAGGCAATGATTTAAGTGGCTTCAGATTGCCTGTCACATTATTAGGATCTCCAGAGAAAAAGAGAATTATGCGCATTTGCCAACTTTAGTCGAAGCGACATGCCTATAACAGCGAATGATCTCTGAGACTCTGAATAGGTCAGGAAAAAGGTTGTGTTAGCAGGAAAGAAGATGACAGAAGATGGCTATTTATTCTGCATGGGTCATATTCAATACAGCTGGCACATAAAAGTCTGGAAGTTCAAGGAATGGTTAATGTTGTGTGATGCATGTGATGGCATGTCAGAGTAACAGCAATTCCACCAAGACATGACAGGACAGAGAAATGGCATTTCAGTTGAGTTCTCGTAAAAAGAATAATATATACTTTTTTTTTTAAATAAGGAAGAAATTAATAATTTTATTCAGCAAGGATGCATAGAATGGATCAAAAGTGACAGTAAAAACTTTTACATAGAAAAAAAAAAAAAAAAAAATTTCCATTTCAAATAAATGCTGTTCTTTTGATCTATTCATTAAATAATCCTGAAAAAAGTATCACAGTTCTACAAAACTGATAAACAGCACAACTGTTTTAAACATTGATAACAATAGGAAATGTTTCTGGAGCACCAAATCTGCATATTAATAATGATTTCTGAAGGATCATGTGACTACTACTGAAGACTGTAGTGATGGCTGCTGGAAATTCAGCTTTGCCATCTCAAGAATAAATTATGTTTTAAAAAAATATATAAAATAGAAAACAGTTGCTTGAAATTATAATATTTTACAATATTACTGATTTTACTGTATTTTTGATCAAATAAATGCAGCCTTGGTCAGCATAAGAGACTTTTGAAAACATTAAAAAAACTTTTTTTTCTTTTTTTTTTATCTGACCCCAAACTTGAAAAATGTTACAAACTGCAATTATTATTATTTTTTATTTTTACTTTTTTTGTCAGCATGTGACAAATATTTTTTAGCAAGCTACAGAAAAAGAACATATAAATTCAGCTTGCATATCTTATCAATCACATTTTTTTGCAGGTGAATGTGTGATGATATTAGCATGTTTTAACAAGTTCAGGTTTGCCAGTTTTTAATTTGAAGCCAAGTTCACACTCAATTTAAATAAACATATAGACAGAAATGTGGGAACAGGTAAACATTTGGCAATTCACACTCAGACATAAACTGCCACTGCAGACTAAAAAAAGAATGTGGAAAAAAAAAGTTACTGTAAGGTGCTGTGAACTTCATGAATAATCATTTGAACTAACCATAATGCACTTACTGTGAATTTCAGGACATAATTCAAAAGAAAACAGCAGACATGCAGTCTTCAAAAATAGCAGGTAGCAAAAAAACACATACACATACAAAGCACATACCCTGCTGTTTAGAAAAAAAAGCATGACTGTGATCATGAAAAAAAAAGCCCCGTTAACATGTCCAGATCTAGTTATCATATAGTCTTTAAGCATGTATAAAGTGTGTAATCTCACCCGCAGAACATCAGGATGTTGTAGAGAGTAGGGTCCTCCTCCAGAGGTGCCAGCTGCTGAAGGCACAGCTGTTCACAGCCCCCATTAAAGCCGTCAGAGCAGTCAATGCCAATGTGGTGGTCATAGCAACCGCTGCCATCCTTCATCGGGCTCAAACCAGGAGGACACTGAGGGGAAAAAAATTAATAAATAAAAATGACCTTTAAACATTCTCTGATCTGTCATAATATCCCTTTATCTTTGGTAAATGGCAGATTCAGCATACATGGCTTCATCACAGCCATAAGCAATAGTAAATAAGATGCTTATGTGTGTTGCCGTGTGTTGTACTATTGTGTATTTGGTTTTCCAATATTAACAGGATTTTAGGAGTACCATTAGACATGATGTACAGTACGTGATATGACAGATATACTGTAAGTCCACACTTTGTTTTCAAATTTACAAGCAATTTCTGAGTGAAAATTGTTTCTACACCAATTTGTTTTCATATTATACATATATATTATATATATGTGTGTGTGTGTGCGTGTACGTGTGTGTGTGTTAATTTTAAAAATACCATTCCCTAACACTAAAGTTACGCTACCTTCTCAACTTCATGCCTGTTTTCTCTGTCTTTTCCCCAAGCTAGTGATGCCAAGTCCAGGTTTGACAGGTTTATTTTTACCTGCCTGGAAAATGGGATAAAATGTGCCTTCACACCTTAAGTTATAAGCTTCATATCCTCTTTCTTGTGGCAGGTGCCCTACAGTAGATTCAAGTTGCTTACATGAAATAGCCTGCAACAGTTGAGAAAGATTTTCCTGCAAAAGAACTGCTTCCTAGGAAGCCATATTTTGTAACGGGAAAGCAAGACAATTTAATTTCTCCAGTATTTTGGTTAGTGTGAAATTTCTACAAAAGAACCAGCTTCTCTACAATTCAACAAGTCGTTCTCTATTCAAAATGATTAGAATGAGGGGTTGAAAGGGCATAATTTTCGATCACAGTGGGCGTTGATTCAATAATTAAGCAGCTTTTATAATAAAATGCATTAAGAGAGAGAGAGAGTAAAATTGTATAGCTCCTTAACAAAATGAAACTAAAGACTTTTTTTTCCTATCTTATAATTAAATTGCTAATACTTTTGGGCTATTAATACCAGGTTTTTGAGGGGTAAAACGGAAATGACAAGTCCATCACAGCATGAGATACACCTTGCCATCCCGTATTCTCATTTTCTTCAGTGGCAGGTTGGGTGTAAAGCATATTTTCTGACCGCCAACTTTTCACTTGACCTCATTCATATTAGGGATCAAAGCCCAGATGTTGGTAATGCATCTTAGTAGCACATCTTGTCCCTGGATGCATTTGTATTGATTTTGTCAGTTAGCTACAGCTGACAAGACACCTGATTTATTACCAGCAATGTAGAGAGCGCAGGGCACCGAGTCTCTTAACTCATTTGTGGCAGATTCCTTAAATCACAAAGTCCCAGTTTGATCAGCTGAACAGAGGACATTATTGAGGAAAGGGGAGGGTTGTTCAACAGAAACCACATTTTTCACATCATTTACCCGCTCATCCTCATTTGGCATTATGACAGAGCTTTAAATGTGCACTCTGCAAGATTTTTGAAATAAAAATGAATAATTATTCAGTAGTTTTTATTTTATTTATATATGTATATTTAATTTTTGCTTCTAAGCTAGACAGTAAGGAAAAACAAAAACAAAGCAATACTTTGTGATTTTACCACTTCTTTTTTTTTGGCCAAATAAGCAATGTCTTTTATTGACTCTTCACTACATATAAAAACCATACTGCAAGATTTTTGTACATTTGTAAAAAAAAAAAAAATGTTTACAGCGTTTTTAGTGGGCTAAAATGTGAAATTATACATATTTACGCTGATTGATTCTGCCTTCTGTTCCAGTTTGTTCTTTGTGACCATAGATTTAAAAAGAATGGATGAGTCAAAGCATTAGTGTGAGGAAATGGACAATTTATTATAATTATTTAAAATGCATTGCTCAAATTTTAAGAGAATGAGTTTCCAAGGAAAGTGTACATGAAAATGGCTTGAACATAGCTTGTCCAAAGCACAGAGGAAAAAGGAAGAAAAAAAAAAAAAGGCCAAATTTGTTCTGGAATGCCCTTGCATCCATCTCACAGTGAATAATGCAATTGCTAGTTCAATATTATTACAGTCTTCTATCTGAGCTGAAAGCATGCTTGATTGAAAAGCACTTTGTAGCACAGAGGACATGGTGAGACAGTTAATGATGCCAGAGGAGTCATGAAGGTTTTAAATTCAAGATAAACTGAAAAAGCCCTGAACTACTGAGCCTTTTAATCTCATTTCCAAATGGGGATCTAGTCCCACAGCTTTCCGAAGCTTAAGAGAATTGCCCATGTGATTTTGTCATATAGAAACAAATCCCTTTCAGACTGTCGGATACGCTATGCAAATCTAAAAATTGCCAAAGAGCCAGAAAAGAGGGAGAGAACAAAGCAGACAGAACAATTGGCAGATGTCTATACATTTTTTTTCATGTAAGAAAAGGAAAATCTCCCCAAAATGTAATTGTTGCAGATAAAAACAGCTGTAATATTGTTTTAAACATGAAACCACAGACATATTGTTGATATATATAACACAGAGAGACTTGCACTGCATCGGTAAATTTGAAAACTGGCATGAACAGTTGCTATAGAAACATGAGATCACACGCACGCACGCACACACACACGTCTGGTTTAATTCTTGCGGGGACTCTCCATAGACGTAATGGTTTTTATACTGTACAAACCATATATTCTATCGCCCAACCCTACACCTAAACCTACCCCACACAGAAAACTTTCTGCATTTTTACATTTCTCAAAAAACAAAAAAACTCATTCTGTATGATTTATAAGCTTGTTTCCCCATGGGGACCTCAATTTAGGTCCCAACAGTGGCATGAGTCCCCATGAGTCAGTGTGTATTCTAGTTTAAGTCCCCAGCAGGATAGAAAAACATGTGCACACACACACAGAAGATAATTCAACATTAACTGGGCTGAATTGTGCCAATGTGGAAAACTGGCAAGTGTTTTGTTTCTTGCCACATAAACCCATGCAGAAAACCACAAGGGATCAGATTTACTGACATACTTTTTAAAACGTCCATCGTTGGAATGTGTTATTTTCAAGTGTTATTTTCACCCTGATAATAAAACCATAGATTTCCATTATTCTAAACAGTTTTGCACTGCATGCTGACTGTTACAGCAATCAGCAAATCAGTGTAATTACAATTTATCACGCTTAAATTAAATTAAAAAATGTGTAAATCATACCAGTTTTCAGAGAGCCACAACTACTGCAACAATTATTTGTACTAGTAACACTACAATAAATTAATTAAAAAGTTAACAAATTATTAAACAAATTAGTGTCCTGATGAGTTTTCTGCAAATAGAATATTTTTCTTCTTATTCAGTATACCAATGGTCAGTCTGACAGTGTAGTTCGCTACATTAGCATGGCCAAGTATTCCTGTTGGCCTAGACTGTCCCTATATAGCAGATAGTCACAGAGATGGATACAGTCCTTTAAAACCACCTTTTGATCCTGGGAGGAAAAAAAAAACAGTGACGTTTCCTCCCTGCTGTGCATCTGGATCACTCCTTCCGAGTTTGAACTCAGGAGACCTTTGCCAAGTACTGACTAGGAACTCAGAAGTGCTTTACAGCCAGAACATGATAGGAGACAGAACAGCTTTTGGGGAGATTGTGAGCAGGCTGTCAAAGAAAGATGGAATGCATCAGTAAAAAAACTGAGAACTCTACCTCCAGTGGATGACCTCAACTTAAACTTGCTCTCAGCAGTCAGGTTTGTAACGTGTCTGTTGTTTACTGTGTTAGTTTTCCTTTGACTTAGTTTTCCTTAGTTGTCTTAATTATGTAATTCTGTTCACCTGTGCTTTATTTATCTCATTAGTCCCAGTGTTTAAATGCAGTGCTGCTTGAAAGTTTGTGAAACATTTAGAATTTTCTATATTTCTGCATAAATACAACCCAAAAGATCATCAAATTTTCACACAATTCCTAAAAGTTGACAAAGAGAACCCAATCAAACAAATGAGATGAAAATCCACCAAAATGAGAGTGGTCCACCAACAAAGATCACTAGTAATAGTCTGTGAGGATGCAAAAGACCCCAGGGTAACTTCTAAGCAAGTAAAGGCCTTTTTCACACTGGCTATTGCTAATGTTCATGAGTCCATCTACAGGAGAACACTAAACAACCATGGTGTTGCAAGGACAAAACCACAGCTCTCCAAAAAGAACATTGTTGCCCGCCTGCAGTTTGCTAAAGATCATGTGGATAAGCCAGAGGGCTATCAGAGAAATGTTTTGTGGATAATTAAGACCAAAATATAACTTTTTGTTTTAAATGAGAAGCGTTATGTTTGGAGAAAGGAAGACACTGCATTCCAGCATAAGAACCTCATTCCATCTGTGAAAGATGGTGGTGGTAGTATCATGGTTTGGGCCTGTTTTACTGCATCTGGGCCAGGACGGATTGCCATCATTGATGAAACAATGAATTCTGACTTAGACCAGCAAATTCAAAAGAAAAATGTCAGGACATCTGTTTTTTTTTTAAAGTCGTTCTACCAAAGAATGGATAAAGAAGAAAAATAAAGTTAATGTTTTAGAATGGCAGAGTCAAAGTCCAGACCTTAATCCAATTGAAATGTTGCGAAAGGACCTGAAGAAATCAGTTCATAGGAGGAAACCCACCAACATCACAGAGTTATAATGTAGAATAATATAATAATAATAATAATAATCCATCCCTCCATTCTCCAAGTTGCTTAAAGCGGTCCTATTATGCTCTTTTACAAAGTCTTGATTTTGTTTTGGGGGTGTACTAGAACAGGCTCTCATACAAGGTTGTTTGAAAAACACATTATTTTTCACATATTTTGCATTATTACAACACCTCTCTCCCAAGTCTGGCATGAACGGCTCGAATAGTTCCTGTATCAAATGAAGGCCCACATTCTAAATACGAAATGTGCTATAATTGGTTAGCTGGGCCAGTGTGTGCTGTGATTGGCAGCACTCGGCACCTGGTCGGGAAATGTCATGCCCCTTACCATAGCCACCTGCGAGCTTCAGTGTAAATATTGTGTCAAAATCAAATCAATTTGAGCACGATTTAAACCCGGATGATTGTAACCACTCTAAGCTTGTCTGCCTTGGGAAACCTAGCGTGTCTCCGACATAGTGATGACACTCGTTGCCTTCTCTAGTGCAGCTCAACCAGGTCTCGTCCCATTCGTCGATATTTGTGATATCACAAATCCCGGAAAATATGCGTTGTAGTCCAAACGAGTCGTTCGTTGTAATTTTTAAAAAGTGATTTCTGTTAAATAAAATATCTCCTTTTGAAGTGGACTTTGAGCTTTGTAACTTTGCAAATCTTTTTTATGCTCAAACAGCAACATTACAGACTAACTAAAGTTGAAAAAGTGAAAAAGCATAATAGGACCCCTTTAATAAATATATATTAAAAATACATATACAAAATATTTGGTGTGAAACAAATAATCACAATGGTAGTTAATTATTTTTACTATTATTATTATTAATGAAGAGTTTGGCATTAAACCGCCATAGTGCAATATGTGTTAAAATTCATTGCCATTCTGATTTTATACACTACTAACACATACAATCAACTAATTCATTCACATACTGTACCAGCATCTGCCAGCAACATCAAAAAGTCTGTTGAACATGCCTGGCTGGCTCGCTTAGATCTAAAGAGGAGGCAATTTGTTTTTTATGTGGACGGCAGGACGGACGGTGGGCACCCCTCTGTGTCCCACAAAAGCACTCAACACCTAGTGTGCTGGAGGGAAAGGAACTAATTAATCACATCATCATTCCGCGATTATCAGGGTATTTCCAAACTAGCGCACTGTTCCTCTCCCCAGGAGTGCCATACATCAGCTAGACAGAGCAGACCGGAACGAGCCCGCTCACGCAGACTGCGATATTAAAACACAGAAGCAGCAGTGGCATTGCTGTCCTCAGACAAGGTGTTAATTGATTAGGGGGGGTGATGAGGCTCTCTGGGGGGCCCGTAGCGAGCTCTTATGATTGGACAGATTGAAGCATCATTTTTATAGATTCAGTCATCTGTTAATTACAAAACATCAAGCTAGGGGCTCAACAGAAAGGTGTGTTATGATTAAGAAGAACAGGATGAATTTAGAGTTGAGATTTCTATAAAATACTGAGAAGGCCATAACATCTGTTTCATTACCAGCAGGTTAGGTGCTGTCAGTCCAGCTTTACCTGAAATAAATATCACTGCTTGCAAAAAGAATATATGAAAAATAGATGCAAGACAGAAGGGATTTATCAATCACAATTCAGTATGCAAATACATGTAAGAAAGAAGACCCAGCAGAATTCAGTGGTGCAATGACCTCATCTGTCAGTCATTTCATGACTCCTCCCCCTCATCCTTTCTTGTCAATCTGCACTGACCTATGAATCCCTCCCCCAAATTATGTTTTGGTTTTAATGCATGCTTGCAAATACTATTAGAAAACAGGCTAATGTAATTCTTTTGATTTTGCAGTTACATCGCCGTGAGGGCATAAATTCCTCTTTACAATGTATTTACTTTAGCCTCTCATGAGTATAACAAGACACAAAAACGTCTCGGTTATGTATGTAATCCTCGTTCCCTTTCAGTCGGTCACTCTCGACGTCACATCGGTGACCGACGAATTGGGATCTCCATTCGTCGGTCACCGACGTGACGTCGAGAGTGACCGACTGAAAGGGAACTCATTAAATTACAGTGTAATGTTTAACATAATCTACAAATATGATTCGAGGGTCATTATAGTCTTGCATAAAAAAAACAACAATATAGAAATAAGATATTTACAAATACATTTGCATAAGTAAGATCTCTATATATTAGGACAAAATAAAATATTACATCAGATTGAAAATAACAGATAACTTTATTAACTTTGACATTATTATAGTATGCTCGTCAGCAGTGCACCACACTGTAACCCTTTTTGAACTGCCAACCCTCATTTTGCTCCAATGATTTTTCCACATTGAATACAAAAAAACCATGGTGACCAGTTTTGATCGGTTTATTAAAAATATATACATATATTCAGTCAGGATTTTAACTGTGCACCATTTGCACACTAAATAAAAACTAGAATAACAAGTCTTACATTAATTTAAAGAACTGTTAAGTTGGTAAAACACAACAGAACTAAACAAACTACACAAAACTAAACTAAACAACAACAAAGATGCATGACAGCCATTGTCACTCAGTATTCAGAAAATACAACTAATGCAAATATCTCTCAAATGAAACAACACGATGGACAGGAACAGGAACAGTTCCTCTTCAGGAACTCGAGCTGCGTCGACAAACGCTAGGGGAACGCCTTCCGCGATCCACGCTCTGAATCGTATGTGAAATCAGTCCAATAGCTGAACGGGACGTCACGGCGGATGACGTCATGACCAGGAAGCTATAAAAGCACGTGCGGCGGAGCCCGCGTCAGCTTTCTGTCATTCAGCGAAGCGCTCTGTGTGTGTCAGTCATATTTATTGTTGTCTGTCTATTTTTGGTAAAAGACTTATAAGCAGCTATGTCTAAAGCCCACGCTAAGACAAAGCATGCAAAGGGGTGCAAGCCACGTTATAGGTTGTGTGTTCAATAAGGCTCGTGTTGGACACGTACCTGCACAAACCCTGATTCGCATGTTCATAAACATGAGCAGGAGATCATGAATGAAGTGAGTGTCAGAAAGATGGATGAGACACAGTACTTTTCATAAACCCTGGCTGAAACAATCCTCCCATCAGCAGGGCCAGCCAAACACACTAATCATGGCACATGCCAGAGTGAGAAATCAAACACTTTAAGCGTACCTCAGCCAGATGGTGAGTGAAATCAGAGCCCCTGGCTCATTTCATGGCTGCTTAACAGCCACAAGTGAGGACAAGAGAGTGAGTGTGATGTAAAAGAAAAAGAAATGGAAGAAACAAACACGATTTTTCATGGTAAGTGAAATAAACTCCTTCAGGCAGACAAGGAAGGCCTAACTTATAAAAGTAAATGCTTTTTATAGAAGTTGAGTACAAAAGCGTGTTCTTTCTTCAAATTTGCATAAACATTGTAACGTTTATGACGATACCGGTTGTTAGATCGAGAAGAAATTGCTTTTTTATCTCTTTTTTGAGTCAATGACAGAATGCAAACAAGTAAACAGAGAAGTCTGCATCAAACGAGAGATAACAAGACCGCTGAAAAAGGTAAGCAAAGAGATGGATTCCAAAAGGTGACAAACAGAAAATAAAAAAACTGGAGCTGTCAGATGAATATTAATATATAACATTAATATTAATATCAATATCAATATTAATGTTTTGCTATAAATATTAATATATTTGCTATAGATATATTTGCTGTAAATATTCATATTAATCATGTAACAACTTGTATGCAAATTTCGCAATATGAGATTTCTACCATTGGAGCAATTGTAATATGAATATAAAACTAACAATATATGGACTTCTAAAGTCAGTTTGTAATGTCTATCAATGATTTACTCATCTGTAACAATTATATATATATATACATTAATACCTTTGAATTAATTAATCAAGTCTCTGCATTTGGGGGCTTTTCTCAACTTATATTAATATATGTGATTAATTAATTAATTTTAATTATTATAATTATTTATTTATTTATTAAAAATTTAATTATTTTAAATTTAAATTTTATTTTATTAATTTTATTTTATTTTTTTACAGCTCTAAAAATGAGACAGGCAACAACAACTCACCACACAGCCGGTGGAGTCCAGTTTGCGATCAGAGATGCAACGGAAATTTCGGCTGCAGCCTCCATTGTCTTTTGAACAGTCGCGCACCGGGCCAAAAGAGTCGAGCAGCACTTCCAGACTGTCGAAGGACGAAGAAATCATCAGCTCCTCCCTGATGAACAATGATGCATAGAAAACTCAGTTAATAATGGCAGGTCAATACTGCAAACAACCTCTAGCATATTTAGTCATTATTAGGACAATGCATGATTATAGTCTGCTTGTTTACTATATTAAATTAACTTTACATAAATATATCAAGAACTGGATATCAAAGAGGCAAGTAATGTGAAGTTGAAAATGACTACTGTGTTTTCCCTAAGCTACTATAAATCCAGCTAAAGGGAAAAGCTTTCCAAAACAGCAAAAGTAAACAACAGCCCTGATGGCTAAAACCTTGAACAGATGGCCTTCCTTGCTCTGACCTTGGTTTTAGCTGTGCTAGAAAATTGTATTGGGTGATATTTATTTTTTCCGTTCTAAAGCACTCGTAACATCCAAATATTTATCTTTACTATGAAATATGAATGGGCAGCGGTCATGATGAAGGAGCAAACCAGTGACCTTTTATTGTCTAATATATTTTAAGAGTGTGAAATCACCAGGCTGCAGGAGAAGGGGAGTGCTGTGATAAATGGATTCATAGTTCTGCTACTGTGATATCGGCTTCAAGACAGAAATACTGCCTTTACGTTCCAAGTTTTGTTATGAATTGGTCAATGATTCTTCTCTCAAAGCCAAGTGGATACATGGTCTGTCAGTGTTTTAAAAAATATGCAAATGACAATCAAATAAGTGCATGTATAAATATAAAAACAAAGAGAGACAGAGGGGAAAAAAAGCTATTAAATGCTACACTTTCAGATCATGATTAAGTTCTGAAAACTTAAACTGATCATAATAATATTAATAATAATGCAACTATTTGATCATACTTGTTTTGTTTACTTGTAAAGTAATAAACAATTATATTTTAGTGTTTCATGATCTTTTCCACTTCTCTCCACCATTAGGATTTAACTGTCTATTGTTGCTGCTGTTAGTTTGCTTAATCCTTCAGATTCACAAAACAATCTGTGCTGAAATGTGTCACTTATAATGTTAAGGCCAGAATTAAATGTCCGGGGACATTGTTAAAAATAAAGGATGGAATAAAAGTATCTATCCTGCTAAAAAGATCAAGGATTCCTCATATGGCTTATTTAAAAAGAAATTAATACATGAATACATTTATAAAGTTTTTCAGCATTGCACATTTCAGCATCACAGTTAACAATTACCACTGGAGATTCTCAGGAAATGCCCACCTTACTTAATAAAGAACACTGCACAACTCACCTCAGGTTCCCACTCCCACCAAGCTTAGCAAAATACTAGGAGTACAAGAGAAGGCAGACCTTTTAAAGCCGTGATATTATGGCCGTTGGGGGAAGATGTTATCGTAATAAGGCAGAATATATAATGACTTCCGTTCCACGGTAATGAGGGCACTTTGAACAAATTGAGACAAATCTACCTCTGCGAACAAAGCATCTCAATTGGCAGGGCTTAGAACAGAAAGTCTGTGGAAGCTCTAATTAGTAGCTTAACTCCAAATACAAAGCAAGCATTTTCAGACTAGACACTGCAAAAGTGCAGCCTGTTCTTTTCAACAGCGGTAAGAAGTAATTAAAATTAACCTTCACTTAAGACTCTAATAAAGAAGGCCATCCGAGTAATAGAAGATTCATTCTGTGACAAATGTGATATATAATAAGCTAAGACACTAATCAGTAATTATCTCTGATACTGTTCTAAAGCCTTCATTGTAACTGAAGATGTTGCACTCAGCTTTGCATAATAAAAAAAATAATAATTTTGTTAAATTTTGCTTTTGTACAACAGCTCAATAAACAAGAAGTTAATATTGAGTAACTTATATTTTAGACTTTATATGTCTTAGTATTGCTTTGTCTGTTTTTCATCCACCAACAAAAATAGTTCCAAAGTCACAGCAGAACTGCTTTGCTTGAATTATTGCTGAGTGAATAATCTAATGATTCATGTGTTCCTACAGTAAATGATTCAGTGTTATTAATGAATCATTTCATAGAATGAATCAATGACTCGCACTTGTTTCATTCCTGAATGAATCACTGTGTTTGAACGAATCGCCTGACTTAATGATTCACCTACTGGTGTAACTATGTAACCTGCAGAAAGAATCATTTGATGCACATTACTTCAACTGTACATTAGTCTGTCAGCTGTGTCATTGTACATTACATTTTAATTTTAATAAATATATTTTAATCTATGAGACACAATGAAACTGATTCTTAACTTCTGAACTTTAACTTTATTGTATTTTTGTTTTAGACATTTTCAATTTCAAACAATATTTGGCAGGCCCCCTGTGGTCTTGCTGCAGATCACCTATGGTTGTGGACCCCTGGTGAACAATCCTGCTGTAACATAAATGCAATGACGTTCCAAACATCTCCTTTATAGACACCAATACAGAGTCTACATTGTATTCTCTCTAAACTGATTGTTCTGTGCAGTTCCAAGATTGCTTTTCCCTGGATCAGATTATGCTGCTGGGAGTAGAAGCGGTGTACTGGTTCACTTGCACAATGGTACTGAAATGTGTTTGCTGTGCTTGAAATGAACAAATATTTACTGTGTGATGTACAAAGTCTACAGCTATGGTAATTTTCCAAACAAGCAGGCTCTGTCTAGTGCAGGGAATTGCAGTCCACAGACATTCAAAATATCATAAAAACATGTTAATATGCTAATATTTAATTCTCTAAGGAATAAATACAGCTTTAACAGTGTTCAAAGATGATCAGTGCAAGTAATGGTGCTTAAATATATAATTTCCCTCTACTTTCACAAGTAGGCTATACCAAGTTAATAAATTCTAAACTAAATTCCAACCAATGAGCCAGCCAAATGATTTAATAACTCATATTAACTTTGTTGGAGTTATAAATGTGTTTTTTGTTTTTTTTACTTCAGTAGGGTTAATGGTACCCCTATGTGCTTTACACACTATGACTTAATTAAATAGCCCTTAAATGGGATAGTTCACCCAGAAATTAAAATTCCTTCATCATTTACTTTCAAAATTTCATCTCATGTTACAATAGACATGTAGGGATACTTCTTATGTATCCTGCAGAAGAAAATGATGCCATTTTCATATTTGGGTGAATTATCCTTTTAAAGATCAGGCAGTACATTATCTCTTTGACGAATGTTTATTAACATACAGTGGGGAAAAAAAGTATTTAGTCAGCCACCAATTGTGCAAGTTCTCCCACTTAAAAAGATGAGAGAGGCCTGTAATTTTCATCATAGGTATACCTCAACTATGAGAGACAAAATGAGAAGAAAAAAAATCCAGAAAATCACATTGTAGGATTTTTAAAGAATTTATTTGCAAATTATGGTGGAAAATAAGTATTTGGTCAATAACAAAATTTCATCTCAATACTTTGTTATATACACTTTGTTGGCAATGACAGAGGTCAAACGTTTGCTGTAAGTCTTCACAAGGTTTTCACACACAGTTGCTGGTATTTTGGCCCATTCCTCCATCCAGATCTCCTCTAGAGCAGTAATGTTTTGGGCTGTCGCTGGGCAACACGGATTTTCAACCCCCTCCAAAGATTTTCTATGGGGTTGAGATCTGTTACTTCAAAATATTCCAGTTCTCTGAAAAACACTTGGAATTGAGGCAATATTCAGCCAGCCCAGGGCCAAGGGACCACATGACCTGCCAAATTTTGTACGATGGACCCTGTGAAGCTAGCCACTCTGCGGGAGATCAGTAGGACACACAGGAATAGAAACTAAGATAGAGGAAAGAAAATTTCACTTTCCACCACATATATGTTTTTATGTTTCATATGCTTGTTTTGTTTACTGTGTGGAGACATGCTGATATCGCGTTTGGTCTCGTTCTGTATCGCGTATCTTGTCAGTGTCTGCGCTTGCTTGGCCATTTGTTGTGGAAAAACCATTGACTCTACCGTGCGACTCCACCGGGCAGGGATACCGGCAAAGGATAAGTATCGCTTTTTATTTCTCCTCTTTCCTACTACTTGTTTCACTCTGTTTCAGTTTTTATAACCATTTCTTACTATGTGTAATTAAGTTGTTGTTTTTTTAGCATGTAAGTTTGGCAGTGTTATTTTTTAGGATTACTGATAAACTACTGTCGTTTGATTTGTAGTTGTTATTTATTTAAATTTTTGTTAAATTATGTCTGAATTTATTATGTCTGTATAGGTATTTTTATTAAGTTTTAGTTTTATTTAATTTGAGTTATTTTAATACTTCAACAAACTAAATGGAAATGAAAAATATATATATATATATATATATTGAATTTATAAATGTGTATGTATATATGAAGCATTTAATTACACTATTACAGTACTATTAAACACTAATTTCTGACAGATTACGTCCTGATTGTGCCACTGAAACACACTTTTTGTGAAGCTTCTCGAAAACAATATGCATTGTGAAAAGAGCTATACAAATAAATCTGAATCGAATTGCATTATTAAAGCGCAAGATGTAAGACTTTCAGCAATATACACCGGTCAGGCTCAGACACTTACTTACGTGTTCGTGCTGTTGTTTTCCCACCAAAATGTCGTAGTTTCTGGAAACAAAATGAACATGGATATCCCCTCACACCAAAGGACAGAAATTCTGATGCTGCGTGTTTATAAGAAACAAATCCATAATTTTTAACTTCAAACCATTGCTTCTGGCTAAAATATGACTCCATAATGCATAATAACACTTCCTCCAGTGAAAAAGTCATCTCTCTCTCTCTCTCTCTCTCTATATATATATATATATATATACATACAAATGTGTGTGTGGTTGTACATAGACATATATGTAGCTGTTTTTTTGGTGTTTGGCTTAGTGTTATGTTAGAATAATTATTATACTCTTATACCTTTTGTTCTTTAATATTTTGAATTGTTTTTAGCTTTATTTTTTGTTTTTCATTTAAATGTTAAGTTTTGAAATTTAGTTGTATGCATTTGTCATTTTTATTTAATTTCTTTATTTTTACAATGTGTATAAGTAGTATTTTAGCTT